TACAAGTTGGTGCATTTTTGCACATTTTTTGAGAAGAAAAGGGACACGAAAGCCTTTTCTTTTGTTTGGCCATAACTTTGGCCATTCACACGATTGGCGCATTTTAGAGCGCGGCAACACGAGTTTAAAGAACACTGACTTTTCGCTCTGTGAGCAAGTCATTTCTTTTGTTTTGGCCAACCCGTCGGCCAATTACACGGTTAAGTCAGAGCGACTGACTTTACATTTTTAGTGTTTATTTACATTTTTCACACATCTGCGTTTATTTTTCTCTTTTGAGAAGAGAACTTTGTGCTGCCACTTACCAGTCGCGGTAAACATCAATTTAGCACAAAATATACCAAAAGTGCTCTCTTCTCATATTTTCATCAATTTTCTGACTTTGATAGTCAGTCTTCAGCGAGTTTATTTTTTTAGCTTAAAGGCACAAGTTCCTTAAGCTTTTGCGTTTTTGGACTAAATTAGCTAGTCCAACGCTTTTAAGCAGATTATTATAATCGCTTATCACAATGCCATCTTCAGGACATATTCGAAGGAAAATTGGGCTAGCTCTGAGAGCCCTCAAGGATCATATTATCGCGGCAACCACCCTTTTGGGTAATGAACAAGAAGCACAAAACCCGGCACGCCTCCGGGCTGAAAGACATCAGTTGATTCGCACACTTGAGCGAATAGAAACTCTCGATCACGAGTGGACAGGATTTATTGATCTCCTGGATGGAGGAGATTTGGAAGCTGAGGAGCAGCTGTACAATACGTTTCCTCCTAATGTACAGGAAGGACAAGTGTGGGTCCATTTCATGGACTTCGCAGAACAGGCCCGAGGAATTATAGGCGAGTTAGACTTCCTCCTTTTGGAAATGGAGGAAAGAATTACAGAGGCTAGTGAGCGTAGTGAACGAACACGAGAGTCACAACGCATTCAAAGTCGAACTCAAGAAGAACAAAGCATTGGAGAAAACAAGGTCAAGGACACTCCTTTATTACCAGACACACGTTTACCAGAGCTCAAAATGGAGCCATTCAATGGAGATCCGAAGAAATGGCCAGCTTTCTGGCAATTATTTTCAATCAACATCGACCAACGCCAAATGGACAATGTTAGGAAAATGAGTTATTTACTCACCCTCCTCCAAGGTCCCGCTAAAGATTTAGTTGCGGGATTCATTTTATCCAACGAGAATTACACGAGAGCATTGGATTTGCTCAAATCACGATATGGCGATAATCGAGCCATCACTGAAGCACTAGAGTCGGAGCTCATGAATCTGAGCCCGCCAAATGAGTCCTGCCATTCAATTCGATCTTTCGTAGATTCGATTGAACGAATTTGCCGTCAGTTGGAAGCTTTCAATATTGTCGATCAATCTCCATTTATATCGACAGCCATCAAGTCCAAGTTGCCCCGCTCTATTGTCTCTAAACTAGTAGAGAAAGAGCGAGGGGCAGAATCTCGTTGGAATTGCGCTCAGCTCAGAAAAGAGCTTATCAACATTGTCGAAATCAAAGAAGAGGTTCAGCGATGTACAACCTCACAAGCGCCCAAAACACGAACTGAGACGACTGAGAACCACATTTCCTCTAGAAGAGGAAATTACCAAGCACGACAAGGAGCGCAAGAGCAATCTCGTACATTCATTGCTCCTGCTCACGTACACAAGAATAGACCATTTGTGAAGTTTGGACAGAGAGAATGCTCCCTATGTCATCAAGGAGCACACTTCCCAAGTAAATGTCCAAAATACCCGACGCCACAATCGCGTTTCAACCGGTTAAAGGAGCAGCACCGTTGTATAAGGTGTCTGCGCGAGGGCCACTCATTTAAGGAATGCCACCTTCCTATGTTATGCCGAATCTGTCAGGGCAAACATAGTTTTCTCGTCTGCACCACATCAACAACGAGGAACCATACACGACTTAACAAGACGAGCAAGAAGGGGACTGCGCCGAATAGGCAGTTTACCCAAATGACAACCACGATTGAGACTCCGTTGACTGGAGCTAATTTAACACAAGAGGATCCTCCCGGCTCGGAGAGTGATCCAACTAAGACAGTTGCAGCCATGGCATTTCCTCACTTGCGCAAAAAGTTATCAGCGTACCTAATGACACGAAAATTGGCAGTAGAATCGCCAGAAGACAAGAAAAGCAGAACACTTGCTTATGTGTTCTTTGACCCGGGCAGTCAGCTAAGTTACATCACCAAGGATCTAGTGGACAAAATTCGTCCACCTCAAATATCAATCGACGACGTCGAAGTACACGGATTTGGCGGAACAATGAGAGATCCAATCAGAATCCGCTCACCAACATATGCCGTCTCAATCAGAAGAGAGGACGGTGGTTGGGAAGAGCTCGAACTCAATTGGACCAAGGAGATAAGTACCCCTTTCGAGATGGTTCAATGGACGACAGAAATGCCCACTCAAGATTTAGATCACCCAGAAGTCCAGCAAGCACTCAAGATATCATCAGAAGTCCCAGGAATTATGCTGGGAACACGACACTTTTGGAAGTTTTTCAAGGAGAGAACTGAAGTCGCTCCAGGAATTTATGTCATTCAGACTGCCTTTGGTCCAGTAGTTGGAGGGGAGTCTGATATGAGTCCATATGGAGGACGACCTTCACACTCTATGATAGCGATCGGCAAGTCTAATATTGACCAAATGCCTCCTTCCAATATTATAGAAGAATTCTGGAATTTGGAGGGGATAGGGATTACAGAGGATCCCGGAGCTGACGATGACCAAATCGCTGTTAAACAGCTAGAGTCCTCGATTGCCCAAGATAACGAAGGGCGTTACACGGTAAGCTGGATTTGGCGAGAGCCAAAGATAACACCACCAAGCAACTACAGAATGGTTTATAGTCGACTTTGTTCAACTTACAGCTCGCTTGCACGATCAAAGGACCTTTTAGACAAATATCATCAAATCATTGTCGATTATCTTCAAAGAGGGATAATCGAGCCAGCACGAAAGAATCCAGTAGGACAAGAACATTATCTGGCTCACCATGCAGTTATTACTCATAAGGTGAGACCAGTATTCGACGCAAGTGCACATCCAAGGGGGCAACCTTCATTAAACGATTGCCTCCTCCGTGGTCCTGTGCTCCTACCAGAATTAGTAGGATTGCTCCTCAGATTTCGCCTACCAAAATTTGTGGCGATTGCTGACTTCGAGGCAGCTTTCCTTATGGTAGGCCTACACGAAGAAGACCGGGAAGTAGCCAAATTCCTTTGGCTGAAGGATCCGGATTAGCCACCATCTAACGACAATATACAAGTTTATCGTTTTGCGAGAGTTGCCTTTGGCGTTATTTGCTCCCCTTACCTTCTGGCGGGAGTAATACGTCACCATCTAGAGAAATACGGCACGACTACTGCTACTGAATTATCTAGTAGCCTTTATGTGGACAACCTTCATTTAGGAGCAAGTTCTCCAGAAGAATTAATCAGGAAATGCAATCAAGCCAAAATGATATTCTCGGAGGCGAAGATGAACTTGCGAGAATTTACCTCGAATTCACCAGAGACAATTTCTGCTATTCCTGACGAAGACCGACTAGACAAATCAGAGGTTAAGGTACTAGGAATGCAGTGGGATATACAAAATGACGAGCTCGGATTTCAATGGCCGAGTAGTCAAATCAGTCCCAATCCAACACGACGTACAGTATTAAGCACTTTAGCGGGCATCTACGATCCATTGGGACTATTGTGTCCAGCTGTTTTGCCCGCAAAGTTATTTTTTCAGCAATTATGGGATGACAAACACGACTGGGACACTCCACTTGCCTTGGAGGAAAAATCCTTTTGGGAGAGTTTCCTCCAGGGTTGGCAAGTTCAGGAGATTCGTCTGCCCAGAAAAGTCCTTAAATCACACGATAACATACAGATCCACGCGTTTGTTGACGCCTCTGCAAGCACATATGCTGTTGCGATTTTCTTGAGAGGAGAACTTAATAGCTCAGCCTCCTCTAACCTTATTTTTGCCAAAACCCGCCTTAAACCTAAAAAGGGTGGCAAAACACTCACAATACCACGAATGGAACTTATAGCTATACTTATTGGCGTAAGAGCATTGGCTTACGTTAATAAGGAGATAGGGAAACCAATTGACCAAGTTCATTTATGGAGCGACTCTCAAATAGCGCTCTCATGGGTCAAATCACCGCAAAATCAACCAACCTTCGTCCAGAGAAGGCTAAACGAAATTAAGAAGCACGAAGATATACACTTTCATTACGTAAGGACCGATGAAAATCCGGCAGATACAGCAACAAGAGGAGCCACTCCCACCGAGCTCCGTTCCGACCTAAGGTGGTGGAGAGGACCGGACTGGCTCATTCAGCCACAGGCTAATTGGCCTGAGGATATCACATTCCAATCATTCACGAATTGCGACCTCAATAAATTTGAGGAACTTGAAGAAAATCCCTTTAATACTCAAATATGCCTTGCGGCTCCAGAGACCTCTCAGGGAACTCATCAACTATTGAAACGTGTGAGTTCCTGGGGTAAAGCAAGGCGCGTTATGTTATACATCCTTCGGTTTATCAAAATAGTGCTCGGGAAGAAGAGAGCACAATCCATCAGATTGGATTCCATTTCTTTAAATGGAGTCCCCTCGACACGCGACTACGAAATTTCTGAAGAATATTTAATAAGATGGGAACAGAAAGAGTGTGGCGAGGAACTCGGTAAATACCGCCACATAATCGACAATAATAAGATCATGCATCTTCAAACTCGCCTGACGAATAGTCAGGGCCCCGAGGGTTTGATTCATCCAGTCCTACTCCCAAAACATTCAGATGTTGGGAAATCAATAATGAAAGACATCCACACACGGTTATGTCACGGAGGTGTAGATTGGACTCTTACAGAGTTCTTGAACAACTATTGGCAGCCAAGAGCTCGCCAAGCTATCCGCAAAGTTATATCAGAATGTATGGCTTGTAGGAGGATGAATTCCTACAAATATGCTTTACCAACAATGCCACCACTTCCAGCAGACCGAGTCCAGCAAAGATTGCCATTCCAGTCAATTGGAGTGGATTATGCTGGTCCGACACTCACTAAAGTCCAAGGCTCCCTCGTAAAGTGTTGGCTAGTCTTAATTACTTGCCTCACGACAGGAGCAGTTTATATTGAGCCTACATTGGATTTAACAGCCGCCTCGTTTCTCAATGTTTTTCGCCGTTTCATCAGCCGGCGTGGACGTCCAGATCGCGTACTTAGTGACAATGGACGTAATTTTGTTTTAGCAGAAAAAGCCTTGAGCGCTGCTCTCGTCTCCCACCTAGCAGAGAACAAAATCGAGTGGAAATTTATTCCAGCTCTCTCTCCTTGGGCAGGCGGAATTTATGAGAGGCTCATAGGCATGGCAAAAACTTGTTTTAAAAGGACGATGGGAAGACAAGTACTCCCATATGATCAACTCGCAACATTCACGGCTGAGGTTGAAGCCGCTCTAAATTCAAGACCTTTAACTCACACATCAGATGAGGAAGGAGCTCCTCTTCCTTTACGCCCGGTGGATTTCATCCAACCTGGAGCTACACTCAGTTATGACCTCACGTTCAAGAAAATCAAAAGGGACAAACATGTTCTCCCTCACGACCAGCTCCTTACATTGTGGAAGAGCACTTTAGAAAATCTTGATTCCTTCTGGGAACGGTGGAAGAGAGAATATCTGGTTATTCTGCGTGATCGCTCTAAATGGGAGCACTCTGGCCCAAGACTTCAGACACACTCAACTCCTAAATTGGGAGAAGTAGTGTTAGTAGAAGACATCATGCGACCAAGAAATGCATGGCTTTTAGCCAGAATTATAGGGCTAAATGGTCATCCAGGCCCTATAAGGAGCGTTAAGCTCCAAATGCCAAATGGTCGAATAACAACACGACCTGTTAACAAGATTTGCCCACTCGAAGCAGGGCCAGAACAAGCCGACACACAACCAGTCAGTAATCCTGTAGAAAGCTTTACTCCTATTGAGGAGGAGCAGGTAGAGGGGCCTGGGCTCCTTGAACCACAAGAGCAAGATAATCAGTTGATCGAGAATCAGCCTCCCACAACTATCGTTAATCAGAAACCAAAAGAACCTGCAGCTTTGGTTTCAAAACACAAGATGGTCACGAGAGGAAAGGCAAAATTAGGCATTCAATCAATTTTAGCCGCTTGCCTTTTAACCTTCATAATTAATCCTATATTTGGATTCACTTCGCCAATTAAATGTGAAGGCTGCCCAACTTGCCATGGATGCTTAGTCCATTGTAGCAAGGCTGGGGTAAATGTCCTTTCACCGCCAAAAATAAGCAAAATCGAAATTTGTTGCTTAGACCGATGCCAATTACTACCAGGCCAAGAAGAAACAATTCATCAGCTTCCCAAAGAAATATTGGTTAATGACTATACCTGTCATGCCAAATTTTGGGACACAAACCGAGAAATACCATTTGAAGTTAGTACGAAATGTTTAGCATTCCACCAATGTCAACTAGTGGATTGCACATTTTGCCTCGATTTACTAACAAATCCAACGTGTAATCCAATGGCTGCTGCATTGGTTCTAATTGGAATTTGTTTTCCTCTCCTTCTTGTATTAAGTTGTTGCTGTAAATCACTCCAAACACTGCTCCGTCCATTAGGAGTAATTTGGAGACTCACGCGCCCCCTTTATATTTGGGGGAGAAGAAGAGGGAGCAAAGCATTAAGCAAGGGACGAGAATATGTACGGGAAAATCAAACAAACATTAAGGAAAATGCACGAAAATTCAAGAAAGGAGCTCAAAAGAGGGGCAAGGAAATGAGGCAAGCGAGTCTTGCTCGATTAGCACGTTATGGCATAATACCGGCTCTCCTCTTGCTCATCGCCCATTTAATTATCGGAGAACCAATTTCGATAATTTCACAAACAGAGAATTGTCGAGTACGAGAAGGTACTCGAATTTGCACGATTTTAAGCTCCACAACATTGAGCTTACTACCAGCAGGGCAACCAACCACTCTTCTAATCAAGGATAGAAGAGGAGACATTTTGGGAGCATTAATGCTCACCCTCAAAGCTCTAACGATCAATTGCAATCCAAGGACACTCACATATTTGCGAAGCTACCGTATAAGTACCAGATCAGTATGGAGATGCCCAAGTGGCGGATCATGTTCTGGTAGCTTCTGTTCACAAGTAGGAGCAAACACACACATACCCGAACTAGTCGAGGTTATGGACAAGCCCGGGAGCAGTGGCTGTTTGGAATCCTCCGCTCTATGGAGTAAAGGATGCGGATTTCCAACTGCCAGCTGCTATTTCTACCGTTGGTATGCTATCCCTATGACTCTCGATGTTTTTGAACTTTTCGAGTGTCCTACTTGGGATTTTCACATAAAGACGACATTACAACTCACTGTTAATGACCAAATGGTAGAGGAGACAGTCACATTACATCCGGGATTAACCCATCATTGGGCCAACATATCTCTTACGCCAATATCAGTGACAAACCCTCCAGCTCCGGTTTTGAGCACTCCATTCCTTACTCATGGATTTTCGGTTGCTCTAGGAGATGGAGTTCCAACAGACCTCAAATGTCAAGATAGACCAAGTGTAGCCAGGTTTGGCTGCAATATTTCAGCAAATACCTGTAAAGATTGCCGTCCTACACCCGACGGATCAATTACATGCCAGTGTAGAGAATTTGACGGGGAAGCAATTTTGGCAGACCCCGCAAAACGATTACCTCTAACTATTGGCCGACACACTTTTCTGACTGAAGACGACCAAGTATACGTCGAACAGTCATACACACCCTTACAGATCAACCTACAAATGAATAATTTCCAGTTAGTGACAGAAATAACCGAGTCCACTTGTCGAATTGTAGTAAATGACGTTAGTGGCTGTTATCGCTGTTTAACAGGAGTTCAAATCAAATATTCGTGTTCGACCGATTTTGGGTCGTCACTTGCCGATATCAGATGTGATGATGGAATTCACTTTATTGCTCGCTGTTCCTTTAATGGAACTGAAGGAGCAGCGCATTTTGCCTACAATAGATCAAAAATTGACACAGAGTGTCAAGTCAAGTGCCCAGGAGGAAATAGTCAATTACACATCAAAGGACAGCTCTTATTTATTCCAATACAGTGGAAGCAAGAGCGAATTATCCAATCAAGTAAAGGTGAAAAATCCTCAGCATGGAATTTTAATCCATTAAGATTTCACCCAATTTCACTTATAATGACAAGTTTACCATTGCCATCTCCAATATATGTATTACTAATATCCATTTTAGTAATAATTACAATTTATAGTATTCTGCGTTTTAAATTCGCAGTTTGGAGAAAAATGAGCTCTCTGCTCATCACAAGTTTAATAATAAACAATTTTGTCGTCGAGGGGGAAGGGGCTTGGCGCCCATTATTAGTTTTTGGCAATCATAGCCATTCACCCCCATCCACTCATATTTATTCAGAAATCACGACCTACCCACTCTCAGAACAAAAAGAGAAAATTTTGGATGGGCACGAGCAAGCCAAACAGATGGCAAGCCAACTTAAATTGTTTGCCACTCACCCATTCATTAAAAATAAATTTTTGAGTCATTCTTTGATTCAACTAACTTTTGGCTCTTTTCGTCTTTTGTTTATAAGAAAAAATTTATTTTTTTATACAAAAGAATGTGCAAAAACACTTAACTTAGTTTTGCACACCGCCAAAAGCCATCAACACATTTCCATCTCTAAACTTTTGTCAAAGAAAGGAAAAATAAATTTTTTCTCTCCTTTTACAAAAGAAGGCACAAAAATAGTCAATCCACATCTGGGTAGAAAAAAGAGCGCTCACTGCTTTAAAAGCAAAGCGTACAAAAAAGAAGAGTTTGGGCCAATGTTCACAACTCCGCCCAACTTAAGTTGTTTATCCACTTCCCCCAGAGAATGTTTTTTCATTCTCATTTCAACAAAAATATTTTTAAATAATATAAATAAATTTAAAATAATTTATACTGCGATAATGCCGCTAGGCGATTTCTTTGCTGTTCCTCCTCGCAAACCAGGGGAATCTAAGGATGAATATTTGCAAGCTTGCCTTGCTGTTGGATATACTCCCACTCCTCCGGAGAAAGGTCAGAGTATGGCTGATTATATTCCGAAAGAGTTGGGATTGGTTTTTTTCGACTCCTTGTGTGGAAATGAAGCACGCCGTAGGGGAGAAGGCCTGCTTACGTTTTTCTGGGAAAACCTCAGATGCCATGGAATTCCTTTGCCTGATGAGGAACCATGTTTAAGCCGGGCAGCCAGGGAGGAGCTTGTTGAGCCAAATTTAACCGTGGCTCAATTTTTTCGAAATAAAGGAAGGGCCTTGACACACCCGGACCTCCCCTGCATTATCATTAAGGGGGGAATCCGTGGCTCGTCAAGAAAGAGCCGAAGACATGCTAGAGTTGTTGGACACCAGTGTTGGAAGGTGGGAGAGTCCCACAAGAGCTTCTTTCCATTGGAGCAAATCATTTACGATCCGACTGAACCGGATCCAAGTTTTGGAGGAAATGCGGCCACGGGTTTCACCCCGCCAAGCTCACCGCCACCAGAATTACCACCAGGAGAAGGCCCATCAACTGAGGAGGAACACGCAAAAGAAAAGGAAAACAATGAGCTTAAAATTAGCTTTCCGCGAGGAGGACCCCCGATTCGCGCGCTTTCAATTTTATTTGCTATTGCGGTTTTTACCGTTTTTATTAATGGAAATTTCGCTTGTTGCTTTAACTCACCCGATATTTCTCTCTCTCCTTTTAATTCTTTCTTGCCTATAGAAATGAAAAAAAATTCTACTGACAACAGCAACAGTAAAGCTAATAAAAAGGCAAAGGAGAATCTTTATTTAGAGGTTTTCGGTCCACCAACTTCGGCTGCGCAGCAGCAAGAAATGGAACAACATTTAAAAGAAATTAATGTTGAGCAACTTCTAGAAATTGGAAATAAACCAGCTATTGCGGTGGCACCAGAAGAGTTGGACAACGAAAGTTTTAATTCCACCACCAGTACTTTATTGAAAGCAACATCGGAAATTATTAAAAATAAAGAAATTAATCAAATTAATTCTGCTACTCAAAATGGAAAACAAATTGTCGAGAAACAACAAGAAAAGAAAGAATCGCCCGCAGCAGCAACTAAACAAAACTCATTGGTTGTTTCTGTAGGTGAGGGAAAAATTGAATTGGGGGAGAGTAATAAAGGGAACATTTTAATGCCAGATCTGAAGGCTAAGTTGGAAAAAGAGCGTTTAAAACAAGAGAGGCAAAACCAGAAAAATCAAAGCCTCGTTGAAGCGTTCTTTTCCTTTGCGCAGAAACTGACTGCTCAACAAACAGTAGTCAACGCGCCAGCAGCCATGGGGGGGAGTTTGTGAAAAGACCGCCACTCATAAGGAAGCGGTCAATAAATTTGCGGTGGCCACTCCCGCTGAATCAAAGTGGAAATGTTCTTCTTCATCTGGGCGTTCTAACAGTGGAGAAAGAGAAAAGACTTTAGGTTCTGGGCGTTCACATTGGGGAGTTTCTGATCAACATACAGAAACTCTGCGAAAGGTCCGAACTACCACGGGTCAACTTTGCGGTCAGATTTCTGATGCAATTCATTCTATGGAATCTGGTCGAGCCAAGTTGACGAATGAAGAGGAACATGACTTACTTGCTATTGATGGGGCCGCGAAGAGACTGATGAAATCGATTCATATTGCATTTGGACACTCACGTCGTTCTCGATAAACATTTCTTGTTTTGCCGGGGGGAGTGTGCCCAAAAGGGCATAAGCCCTCCACTATTTTTTCCATTTCTCTCACCTATTTAATTTTACCGCCCGCAATTTATTTTGTTTTTAACCACGCCTACCTTTGGCTGTCAAGTTAGCGCTCGGCTGTCCCTAAAATCACTTCTTTCAATCCTTCTTTCAATTTC